ACGGTATCTGATAGTACGGACCAAATAACTGAACCATTCGGTCATAGGGGCTCCGCAAAAATGAAACACTATACAAATAGCCTTAACTATTCAGTCGAGGGTTAAGCGAGTCCCAGCGACGAGCGTTACTTGTTTTGTAATATAAACTTTAGTTATATTATCCTATAAAATAAAATGTCTCAGATTTGTTACTTTCTCGAAAATATCTTTTACCTCATATATCTATTAAGTGTATAATATTTTTGTTACTGTTATTCTCGTTTCTCAAATACTTTCAAAGGTATACAAAATGCGCAGTCGTTACCAATTATTAATGTAAAAAAAACATAGATAGCATGGCATATAAAAGTTGAATGTTCCATAAAATAATACTTTTTTTTCTTATATAATTGTCAAATTTTTAATAAAGTAATCTGATCGATCTTTCATTCAATTCATGTGGGTTATATGGTTATTTTCTTTAGCTGAATTAATGATCACGTTCTCTAAATAAGTATGTCCTTGGTCTTGCTGAAGAAGAAACAAGCCATAGAGATGTGGGTTCCATTTTAATTCCGAAGCATAGATTATAACCAATTTAGAGCAACTTTTCATTTGCAAATGTTCACGTTCACAACGAAAGACAAACTATAGAATTATGAGTTGAAATTTGAACACAAAAAATATATCATTACATACCCACTAAGTTGAGGATAATTCTTTTGAATGATATCGTAACGTTGTATACGGAAAAGAAATTTTGGAGCTGCGATTTTCATTTTGAACAATAGAATGTTTACTAATGTTAGAATATTTTTTTTTGCTATAATATCGTAACTTTAGAGGTAGAAAAAGTAAACTAGAAAGAGAGAAAAAAAAATACCGAATTTTACTTTTATTTTTAAAGATCTCCTTTACTGATTATGAATTTTGACAGAAAAAAATAATATTCTTGTTTGTAAACAATTTTTCTTTCAAAAAATCATCTCAAAGCTAAACAAAAAATATACTTACAAATGCATATTTATTTTCTACACAACTTGATCGAAAAAGTACTTGAATGAGGCTAAGTCGAAAAAACTATCCATAACGATAAATTTAGGGTGTAGGTGTGGGTATGGATGCGGGTCGGAATCTTGTCTCAGCCCACACACAAACTAAAAGAAGCCACTAACTTCACATGAGAACATGCTGCCGAAGACTTTCAAGAGACACCGATGAGAAAGACAGCAGAGACGGAATCGAACCGAATTTTACTGGTTCTGGTTTGGTTCTTTTTTGGTCTCTGATGTAAAACAATTGATCAAATGTCATTTGATCATTGCTCAGAGCATTGCAATTTACAACAACAGTGATACTTCAATCAATCATTTTTCTTATACTTTTATGGACATTAATTCGCTTTTCGAAAGCTAGTTCGAGTTCGGTTCGAGTGCATTTCAAAAAGACCAATTTAGGTTCGGGTGTGGGTATCAGGGGCGTAGCCAGGGGGTGTGCACAGGGTGCCCGGGCACACCCCTTGGTCAGGAAACATCTGGGAGGGGGTACGGGTGAAAAATCTTTCCGAGCAACAAAAATTTATTTTTCTGCTGGTGTGCACCCTCCATAATAAGTCGGGCACCTCCCTTAGAAAATTCCTGGCCACGCCACTGATGGGTGTGGGTGTAAGTAACGGTTTAGTCGAATAAAAGAAACGTATCCATATTGGTATACGCACCTCCACATCAATAACCACGATCATATCCACACCCCAAAAGTTATTAGTGATAAAGATCGAACCTCAATTGATTATATGCACAGATACGCTGGTGCGCTTTTAGGATCTTTTCTCGAATTACTATGCATCACTTAGTATATAAATAATCTGATAAATTGTTTAAGCCAAACATCCAATGAAATGAGCAGGTTAATTGGATCACATCACTTGTATTCTTAGACCATATTCAACTTCACGAATGATTTCGTGGTCCTATGTTTTTTTAAAGTCAAAAATAAATAGGTAATCAACCAACAATGAAGCGACGATGAGAAAATGATGAAAATGTAGTGTCGTCTTTTCTCAGTTAAAAAGACTTTTTAACAGATTGTTGTGAATGGGAAGAAAATGATTATGTTATCTTATTCAATGATTTTTGATTAAAATGGAAACGACTTTATTGTCACAATACAAGAGAAAAAAACTTTGACACATAACTATTGATGATTTTAGAATAAAAATGAGAATAAGAAATCTTGGTAAATTAACCAACGATGATAATAATGACTGAATGGACTTGAAAACAGATCTGCCAATCGCTCTCGGTCAATAAGTCATTTAAAGTAAATAAAATATAAAAAGCTTCTTATATTAAAAGTATGTGAAACTTTGGCAAATCTGCATATGTTTTATTGTTATTAATTATTTAATTAGTTTTGAAAGATGATGAACATAAGAGATTTGTTTTGTAGAATTCATATGAATATTAGTTTTATTTCGAGATATTCGAAGTTCAATATTATCAATCAAACAAAACCAAATTGGATCAATAGAAAATGGGTGAAGATTTAATTAGATTAAACAAGTTGATATTGAGGTTCTATTTCGATCAACCGAGAAAGAATTATTCTTCGAAAATAATAATCTTTTTTTATAAAGTTTAATCGAAGATTCTCGGAAACGAGGAATCCAAATCATGGATGCTTGGTAGAAAGTTTCCAATTTGATTTCTTTGAGAAAATTCTCCATGAATTTGTATTACTCATTCCAACAACGTTTGATCAAACTTTTTAGAAAATCATTACTTTTGCCAAATAGACTTTCTTGGATGAAAGAGTCAAAAACAAAAATTCTAGACATTCGTTTTTCAGTACATTAATATTCCTCTTGTACAAGCAAATCGATGGTGGCTACTCTTGCAATAAATCTCTCGACCTTTGCTTTCAAGCTATCAACAGACGTTCTTTGATAACAAGATAAAATTGTAATAAGTTTCACGCAAGACAACCATGAAAGCGGATACTGATCAATGTTTCTAGAATAAAAAAAACTAAAATCATATGTCATACACTTGAACAAAGTCTTTGCAATTGTAAGAATAACAGATTCTTGAAGCAAAAGAGCATCTATGGTACCGGTTAAATCAAATTCTTTCTTTGATTGTAACAAGTCAACACAATATTAATAGTGAAAAAGAATTTTTTGTTTTTTTTATTTTTTTAATAATAATTTTTATTATGAATAGATAAATAAATAAAGATAAGATAAACAAACGCGAAACAAAAACAAGAAACAAAATAAATGAATAATTACGCGAGGCCTTTTGAATGACTTTCTTTATCAAGCGATCTTTTTTCAACATATATTTGAATATAACTAAGGATCGACATCATGTTCAACTATAATATATTGGTTTCTTGTTCTATAATGTATTTTAATTATTCTTGGACTTTTGTTATACGATGTACTTTAATGTATTTTAATGAATTTTCCTTGAATATTTATTATACAATGCATTTCTATGAATATTTGTAATATATTGTATTTTAATGCATTTTTATGAATATTTGTAGTATAATGCATTTTAATGCATTTTTACGATTATCAGTAATATAATGCATTTCAACGTTTTTTAATTGTAGTTTTTGGCGTATCTTCATGGATATCTTATAATATCTAATAATGCATTTTAATGTATTAGAAATTCTTTCCATAATGGTTCTTTAGTAATTTTCTCAATAATGCATTATATTGTATTTTTCCATTATAATAGTAACTTTTTATTTTTTATTTTCTTGACGATATTTTGACCATTTTTTAATATATTGTGTTTTTGTAATTTTTTGTAATTTTTCGTAATGCATTTTTACAAGTAAAACATGTTAAGAATAATGCGAAGTATTTTTCAATAAGCGCATGAATATGGGAGATACATTTTTTTACGAAACGGAGAGTGGATGTTTCAGAATGAGGACAAAGGCGGACATGTTTTTACAATAAATGGGACGTATAAAGCGAGAATGAATACCAGGAAGAGACATGTTTACAATGATTGATAAGAAAAAGGATATAAAGAAAAAATAAACAAGAGACATAAAGCAAAAAATTTTTTGAATCAGCATATAAAAAAAATTATATTTTTTACAATCAGTTTATAAAGAAAAATTATATTTTACAATCAGTAGATAAGGAAAAATTATATTATATTTTTTGCAATCAGTATGTAAAGAAGAATTATAACTTTTTCATCAGTAAGATGGCTTTTGGGATGTTTTTACAATCAATATGCTGAGATTGAATATAAGAGGGAGAGAAAAACATTTTTTGATAGAGATGGGTTAAAGAAGGGTTCTTTTCTATCATTTTTGATTGGACTTAGTATATAAATAGGTGGAGATAGATTATAAAAAAATTAAAGAATGATTTTCTTACACGATTTTCGATAAGAAATAGTGCATAGATAGACAGACATAAATCATGACGGATATTAAAGAATGTTTTTCATGTATAGTCTTTCATGAGGAATAGTACATAAATCGATAGAGATAGATCAAAAGATATTAAAGAATGATTTTCGTATACAACTTTTTTGCTGGAAATAGTACACAGCTATATAGAGATAGATCATGAAAAATCTTAAGAGTGATATTTATATATAGTCTTTGATTGAAAATAGTACATAAATAGATAGAGATTGAAACATGATTCATAGTGATATTACCTCGATATAAAAAAAAGAAACAAAGGAGAAAAATCAACACGTAAAAACATTTCGAAAGATTGGCAGGTAAACGGACGATAGATTTATATTACATATGTACGCATATAAAATAACATTTTTTATATATGTGCAGTAATTTGTCAGAAAAGGATCATACATAGATCGATTTCAAAAAATTATTGAAGAATATTCTTTTTAAAGATAAGAAAAGTTTTTTAATTGAGAAGAATTCGTAACAAGATGGCTGGTTGAAGAATAGTACTTTAATGTTACAATAATGAATGGAAGAAGGTTTTTTACAAAGTTGTAGACTTAGAAAGAGATTGAAGGAGGTTTTTAACAATATATCTAATAACATATTTTTATACAGATTGAGAATGAGTTTTTTGTTTTTTACTATTTTTTAATGAGTGTTTTGTTTTTTACTCTAATCAGTAGAAGAGCAAAAAACATTTTTTCAAAAAGATCGTTTTTACAATATTTTGTTAGAGACAATTTCATAGATAGATGAAATTGGAAAGTATTCTTGAATTTCTTAATCATTACTGAGGGTGAGGATTCCTTTAGAGATAGATTTATCTTTTAACATCATAATCATTACTGAAAGTGGGGATTTTTCTAGAGACAGATTTAAATAAAGATTGAAGAGAAATAGATCTAAATAGTGGTTCAAGAGAGATAACTATAAATAGAGATCATTTTAAATAGAGATAATTTTAAATAGATTTAAATAAAGATTTAAGAGAGATAGATCTAAATAGTGGTTGAAGAGAGATAATTTTAGATAGAGATTGAAGAGAAACAGATCTAAATTGAGTGATAAATTTCTGATACAAATTAACGAATGTTGTTACAAAACATTTCATACTTTTTTCTTTTGTGCTTTTTTTCTTTTTTCTTCTTTTTCATGCGGTATAGGTCTGCTATTGTGGTTGAAGTCTCAAGATTTTTCTGCTTGGTCGTTTCTTTATTAGTAATTGCTTCACATTATTAGTTAGTCTATTGGCGTAAATTATATGCGCATTGTCTAATGGCGTTCCTTCAAAGATTTCTTTCCAGACTTGGTGAAAAGTTGTACCAAAACGTGCTAATGCTGGCGTATACGAAAAATGACAAAGTATATCTTTTTGAAAATCTATTTTTCTTTTTTCTTTTTTCTTTTTTGTTCCATTGTTTATCTAGTACTTTATCTCGATATGTTGTATGGTCATTACCTAATAATAGATCAGAGGATTTTATCTTTGTAAGATCTTTATAAAATCTCTGCATTTGCTGATTAATGAATGCTAGTGGATATCTATTTAGCAATAATGTTACTCTTATTCTATCTAACTCTTCACGAAGATCATTAGGATGCGAACAAATTCGTGTTGCTCGTAGTGCTGCAACATATGGGATATTTTTCATTATATGATTCGGGTATGATGAGTGGTAAGGTAGTACGTAGAGTTGTGCTGCTAGCTTACGATATAACGTTGTTCTAAAATTAGGAATTTCGATAGTTATTGTGACATCAAGATAATCTACTGTTTTTCCTCCTTCCCATTGTATTTTTAAGTTTGGATCAGATCTATTCAGCTCTTCTAATGTACTATTCATTTTTTCTGGTGGTAGTTTGGTAGTAAGAAAGACATCATCTCTGAATCGAAAATATAATTCCTTTTATTTATATTGTTCTTTTACTAAATAACTCTCCCATTTTCTAACGTATATATCAGCTAGTACTTGAGTACATGCTGAGCCCATGGCTCCTCCTCTAATTTGTTTATAATATTTAGGTTGTTCTCCTGGCAATTGAAGTACAAAATAGGAATTTTCTAGTGCGTGTAAAAATAATGCTTTAATTGTGTTTATCGATAGATTACGTACTTTCCGATAACCATGTCTGCCTAAAAATTCAAATACACCTAACACTGCTTCTTTTTGTGGGATCATTGTGTACAAATCTGTTATATCAAACGTGTAAAGAATTGTTTCTGATGTTGTTTTATATTCTTTTAAGTATTTTAAAAGTACTATTGAATTAGAAATAGAATAGGATGTATGTTTATCAAATATTGGTCGAATATTTTTATCAAGAAAACTAGCTATTTTTGCTAATGGTGATTTCATTCCGCTTACTATGGGTCGAAGTGGTTCATCTATTTTATGGTCTTTAGGATTATAATACAAGTGTGGTAATTCTGATTCTGTCATTGATGGTCTTAGTTTATCTAGTAATGATTGTGGCATCTTTTTCATTGAGACTAGATTACGGAGAAATTTGTCTGTTGTTTCTATCATTTCTTTCAATGGTGATGTTGGTATTTCTATGTATGCATTTGTTTTTTTCATATATAGTTCTGATTTTCTTATATAATTTTCTTGAGTGTCTGCATGAAACACTTTTGATTTATCTGTTTGACGAAAAATGATCTTATTTTGTTTTTGTATTTTTTGAAAATATTTTATTGTTGTTTCTGTTAAGGAAATATTCTTCCTTATGAACTATAGATGTGCATGTTCATTTTCCTTTCTCTTTCTGTTACATGTATCTGTTCTTTAGTTCTTGCTCAATTGAAATTGTTCGTTCGTGTCTAT